TTTTCTACAATAAATTAATCGTTTTCTCGGTTGTACGACATGTACCGCCAACATGTTGGAACACACATCAGGTTTCTATTTTGTTTTGGGTCCATTCTCCGAACGGGTGTCTCGAATCGAGGTTCGACTACAAATTTCCTCTGAGTTGGATTTTGTTAGTCCGTGAACTAAGATCTCCGAAATCAAATAAAGTGGATGGATACTTATACAATTGGTCAAAGTTGCAACTATAGTTCCCCGAGAATGTTTTGTGTCCTTGACCAAGGAATAAGTCACACGTTACAACCACGTTGTCCCAACCACTTACTGATCTCTGTCCTGCTCCCGCTAATGGCCTTACCTTTTTAGGTGATCAAGTCAGATCGAATATGAAGTGCGAGGCTTTCGTATCTATAATAAGTATTCGCTCTTATTAATCCACACATCCACTAATTGTAACTTCGTTTTGCGCTTGGTGTATATGCTCCTTATTCCGCTGAAAAACAATTAGATTTTTGCTCTTTCGAGATATTATCCATGATTTTCATCAAATGTCAAGTGAGCTAGCCGCTCAATGGTCATTTTCGATACTTTACTCAACAGCAGCTGCAATAGCGTCTTCGGTGTCACTATGCCTGTGTAGCCTTGAGGATGGGCATTATCCACTAGTGTAAATGTCGCGCGAAACCCCTTCATGGTTCCTCGAATTAACGACTCTGTTGGGCGTTTATGTGTCCGAATATATTAGAAATCGTTTAGTAGGAAAGTTGTCTTTAAGCTTTCTTTTATAAAACTCTTTCGGCCACTGCGTTCGATCTTTATGAGCTGTAGTTGCTATAATTATGCAAAAAAAAAAAAAAAAAACTATCGACTGCCGAAATATATGTGCTCGATGTATTCTACCTATAATACCTTCTTGGCCTCTTCTGGGAAATGTCACCAATGATAACTTTTCCGATTCTGCGAAGACCCCGCTTATAAGTAGGCTTCAGGCACTCATAAAAGTCATCCTTGGTTACATCGCTTATAAGTACGCTTTCGTCGTGGTGTGGCCACTTACGAAGATTCTCTCTCAACACAGTTGCAACACCGAATTTGCGCTCCTCTATATAACCGCTGTAGTAAATGTCACAAGGACTTACTTGTCTTCATGTGTCGAACTTCTTGGATGACGATAATGTCAGTTTTGGTGAATATGAACCAGTTAAAGGGGGCATTCTCCTAATTAAGGCAGTGGATATTCCAGTTGCATGCCCTGAAATCATAGTCCTTTCTACATTTATTGAGGGTTTTCTAAAAAGTGTGTTCTTCCATCCGATGCAATGGGGTTGGTTTTAACGTGACGTTTTCCAAACCGACACATTTATACAGGGAGCCGTTTGCTTCCGGGCCGCTCCCCGGCGTACCTCTGTCGATGCATTGAGATTTCAGCAAAGCCTTGAATGGAATGTATGCTGAAATTTTCACTATTTTAGACCTGATCCAAGGCTTCACACAGGTTGCATAAGGATTGGTCACGTCTCCGAGGTACACAACGTGGACACAAGAGGTAGGACTTGAGTAAAGCGCCGCGTTTAAAACTGCATACCCAAACTTAATAGGAAAATTCGAAAATTTTTATTATAAATTAGACCGATTTCAATGCCCGCCGCTGCCTCAAACTAAATTCACAAATGTGTACATATATGTCTATATACTTGTACACGTGTATAACTGTAAGCGCCCACATTTGCCCTACTTTGCGCCACAATTGAACTCGTTAAACCACTTGTAGCCCGCGAGCGCCCGCCGCGACGTCGATGCGGTTTCCGTACAACCGTTCATCTGGCTGCATTGCGCACATACGTGTACACGCACGCTGGAAGTATGCTCGAACACCTGTACATACAGAGAAAGGTGTTATTATTGAAATACGCATACACGGCTGCTCTAACTAATTAGTTGGATCGGCTTGTAGCCGCTTTGTTGTTGCAACTGCAACTGCAATTGCGATTGCGATTTGTGTACAGTTAAATGTGAATTTTATATACAATGATCATACGCGTGTATGTGTGTGCGTGTGGTGGCTTTATACAGGTGTCCACTTTTAGTTTGCCGTTGTTGTATGTGGCATGTGCGCTTATGTCCGCGGCTTTTGACTTTGAAAAGCTGCCAGCATTACCGAGCTAATTTGCACAGTTTAATGCGCTACAGTGACTTTGAATGTGTGAGTGTGTGTGCTTGGGGGTGTGTGTGCGTGTGAGAAATATTTATAAATATTTTATAATATAATGACAGAAAATATGACAGTAACTATTGCGCTGCGCGGCTAGCGGTATGAAGCTGTACGCTAATGTATGTCCGTTTTGTGGTTTTTTGACAGCCAATTAATTTGGGTTCATGTTTGGCTCCAGCTTGGAGCTTTTTATATTCAATATTTGCGACATTTAGAGATTATTTAAGTTAACAATAAATGCTTAGTTACCGGAAAACGCATTTGTGGTCAGCACTGAGCTCGTTGGCTGATGATGTTTGGCAGTGGGTGGATTAACATTTTGGATATCTGCATTTACAGGCACCCGCTTTTGTTTTTGTGATTACAAAAAAAAAAAAAAAAAATTACCTTCATTATCATTTTAATTAACCCTTTCAAACATTCAACGTCTGCTTCTGCATAAACATCCTCTGAGGGCTAGATTCGATCACGATCATTCAGGTTACCAAGTCCTTCGAAAGCTGGAGTGTTCTCATCCATTTGTACAATGGAGTATCGTCAAGCTTCTGAACATGCAGTTACAGTCGCGAGGCTATACCCAATTCTAAATCTTGGGCCCACGTTCGCGCACCCTGGAAACGCGGGCAAATGCGGTAACCAACCCGGCGTGTGACTTGCAAAGTTGTGCGCTGAAAACCAGCTCCAATTAAAAGTTCAGCAACGCCGCGCTTTATATGCACCTCTTTTGATGACGACCACTCTTTCTAAACGAAGTAAGGATCATGACTAAAGGGCATGCCCGGTTCCTTGATTGGGAAGGCGTTGCTGCCTTTGCGCATTGATACCGACATTTCACGCAGTACGATGGATGAGACAAGAATGGATATGAGTTTTTTTGACATCTACCTTGATATTTACCCGACTTGCGACTTACGGAAGATTATAAGATCGGAGCAAACTCTTGTAGGATCCAGAGGTGTAATCTAGTGACGGATGCGCAGAGTATCCTCAATTTACCCGCTAAAAAACAATAAAGCGGCTGGCGCTGACGGTTTAGCGGCAGAGCTATTCAAACATGGTGGTCAAGAGTTGACAACGTGCGTGCATCTACTTGTTTGCAAAATATGGTCAGGCGAAAGCATGCCCGACTACTGGAACCTAAATATACTCTGCCCAATCCACAAAATGGGCTATCCCACAGTCTGCGTAAACTAACGTGCGATAAGCCTCCTTAACATCGTACATAAGGTCCATTCAAGCGTTTTGTGCTAAACGAGGTTTCAGACAGGGTGATTTCTTCACTTTGATGTTGGAAAGAACAATAAAAGCTGCTGAGCTGAGAAGACAAGGTACAATCTTTTACAGTCTTTTAATGAATGACTTCCAGAGTTTGGTGTTCGTTCGTCGATGGAAGACTTTTCTTTTCAATTGTCTACTCAGTCTGAAGTAGTACCAAGAGTGATTCTGCGTTGAATATCCAGTTTACAAAATCTACGACCTCGAAGTTATGCTTGTCAGTAGTGACCTGAGATCCGAGACGCGAATGTGATGACTCTTTGATGATAGGAAATATTTCGTTTTGCTCTCATTCACTATGAGACCAATGCACTTCGATTTCTTATCCAGTTTGGAGAGAATATATCACGTTACCCCAACGGTTGTACACTCTTATAAAAGATTATACCATCCCTACTTTGCTGTTCTATAAGTGAAGAAGTGGTATTCAGCAAGCCAAATGTTGTTGACTGATCAGAACTAATATGCTGCCGGTGACAATGGAATTCCCCTCTAAAAATTGCTTTGGCTTCATCCTGAAACAGTGTGTGATCTTCAAGATTCTCAGATTAGAACGTAACCGTTAACGAAACTGTTCGACAAGGAGAAATGAGGATTTTGGGACCGCAGTGCACTGAACTTGACAACGTGGCGTACGACCACCGCAGGTACTAGACGGAAGTTTGTGAGTATGAAGAAGCTAAGGAGGTGACCAGCATTTCAGTGGAATAGATTTGATAGTGAATGAGGACAATACGAAATATCTTCTGTAGACAGTAATAGTTTAATGGTGCAGACGATTTCGCTTCTGTAAGAAACTGCATGAACCTCAACACCAATGTTAGGTTTGAATTCCAATGCAGACTCACGATTACCAACTGGTGATACCTTGGACTGAGTAGGAAAATAAAAGGTAAATTCTCTCTGACGAGCGATTTCTTCCTCAGCGAACGATTCCCCTCTCGACGAACGATTTCTCTCGACGAACGATTTCTCTCGACGAACGATTTCTCTTTCGACGAACGATTTCTCTTTCGACGAACGATTCCTCTCTCGACGAACGATTCTGTGGAGCCTAAGTTGGCGTTAGGAGCTATGAGTGAAGTTTTTTGTGAAAAATGTGTGGTCATTTGTACATTGGCAATCACGAATACTGCAGACAAAGTAAGATGAAATAGACTTAATTTAGCGAATTCGAAGGCAGCGGCTTTACTGGCTCGGTCATATCATCCACATGGGCGACAAGACTGAGCAGACCCCCACTTCGTTGCAGAAGTCAACAGATCCATTGATGAGAAATAAGAATCTGAGCGCTCTTAAAAAGGAGCAAAATAGGGAGCGCAATTAGGAAAATTAACGTAATTTTTATTTAACTTAATTTTATGTAGTGTAGAATTTCGGTGAAGCCTGCATTCGAACCCATGACACTCTGCATGATTGTACGCACTGCTAAATACATATTAAATTTTGCACTATAAAACAAAAATATTCAGTACATAAATTTTAAAGATTATTAATTTCTCTCTGCATTCGTTTACTCTTCCACCAACAGAGCATACCTACGCGATGTGATCGAAACTGCCAACATTTTCATTAAAATGATGGAGAAATTCTGCAAGGACACAGTGCTCTTGCAGGACAAGAAACGCACAAAAAAGCGTGGACAAAAGTCGAAAGCAAATAAAAAACCGGAGCCCAAACCACAACTCACCGAGGTAAGTACATAAATTCTATAGAAAAGATAAATAAAAAAGCAAGCGAACAGCGCGGGTCAAGCCAAAATGAATTTACTGTGAAGTGCAACACTTTGCGAACATAAAGTATACACATAAATACACACACATACACAGCCGTGCACAGCGCAAACTGAACTATTAAAGTTAATTATGTCACTGCAGTTTTGCAATGAAAAAATAAAAATAAAATTTTAAACATTTTTTTCAATCCTTTTGAGAGGCAACTCTGCTGCGCAATTAGCTTGCATTGTTTTTGCTTTTTACTTTATTTCCGGTTTTTTCTTCTTCTGCTATTTATTTTACTTTCCTTTCACTCAGCTGCACTAAATTGTCAATGTAAACTTTATTTATGCCGCCCATTTCCATTTCCCTCAGTCTTTCGGCGTTTTATTGACGAAAAGTCGTAAGCTTTTTGAAAATTTTATAACGAGACATTAAGTTTAATTGAGTGAAAATAAAGCAAAGTCGGCAGCGACAGCGGGCGGTATGCGGAATGTTGCTGCTTAATGGGTTGGTCAAGTGAGCGGTGGCGCGGTGGTTCATAAAATGGGGGACAAATTCACGTTCCTTGGGTAGTGTAAATATTTCAATAAAACTACTTCTTGAGTTTTTTGCATTCACTTTTTTTTATTGTAACTTCTTTTTCTTCATTGGCGTGGACAGCACTGGCGCGATCCCGTCGCTTCTGGTTCTTTAAGTCGGCAATTGCTATGCGAATATCATCATATATTGTAATGGAACATCTTTACTATTATCATTACCGAGTTGGGTCTCGGTTTGCCACTGCCATTCAGCAGCCTGGAAAAGTGTGCCCTCCACACCACCAAGTATGTTCTGCACATCAGCCACTAGATTTCGACATTGATTCTTACACTATTATGCCATAGTCTTCAAACCCTCGGTTGGTCACCGCATCGCTTCATAGGATTTTAGAGCGTTACCCTTGTGGGTCAACTTCTCAAGCTCCTCATACTCACTAATATTGGCCTCTCTCTTCTTTCGTCTCTTAAAGCATCTTGATTCCCTCTTCTGCTCTCGACAGCTAGCCCATCCCGATTGGTCGATGTAGTCTGTTTTAGTACCAAATCTTTTTTTGGCCAAACCAATTGTTTCCGTAGCGGCGGTTCATTGGGAGTCTGAGATGCCGTTCCACAGTTACCTCAAATCGAGTTGTTCTCAGAAAAGTATGTGTGTCATAACAGATTAATACATCAACTTCAGCCCATTCGCGGTTGCTTTATCGTATGCCCCAAAAGAGTAAAATGAATCTCGTAGAAATCGACTTTGGTCACAACGTCTTTTCCTTCCGTCGGAGCGGCGGTGAAAATCAGCGATATGTTGAAAAAAATACTTTTGGTACGGATTGTGGGTAGATGTCCATCCACTCAAGTCTCTGCCATCTGCATCTCCTGAATGGCAATGAATGGCAGCCCTTACATTACCGAGGATACCAACCAGCTGGTCAGTTGCATCTTCCATTTACTGTTCGCTTTATAGGAATGCCCTCAAATCGTATTCTTTAGTACATTTACTGCGGTGGTCATCAAAATAAGGGTTTATCTCTAATTTTCCATTGGATTAGTTTTTTATGTCGCGTAGCTCAGAACCAGAGCCCATCATGTCAGGCAACCGCTCACAATTGTACCTCTGTAGAACACATTCTGCACTTTCACTTCAGTGAACCCTTCAACCGAATATGTCGGAGTGGTTCCACCGATGTTTCCTGTAGAAATTTTAAAAAGGCCTGTCTCTAACTTCAAAAATGAAGCTTTTCCGAAAACCCTACTAAATTATATATTATAAACTCGGCCTTTTCGTCGCCTCCGCACGTTTTGCTTCAAATTGTGCATCGCCATGTTAATAGAGCCGTGGCAGCAACGAGTTGTCGTCCACCATACACTGTCGCTGTATACTTGATTTAAATGTCAGGCTGTAGCTTAAATAACCGTAAATATATATGTGCATATGTATATAGATATATAACAAAAATACTGGCATTTAACGCAATGATTCGCAAAAATGGCTGCAACCATCTCGTTTGTCCTTCCGCACCATTGCTGCAGCTCTGCCACGTTGATTAATTGCCATTCGGTGGCAGCGTCAATGCGCGGATTTAAAAACCGACATATATACAGTCTGTATTTTCTCTCGCCCACCTTTCACCCCACTTGCGTTGCATGCATTTCGCTTGTGGTGCACCTTCAGCTGCGTTTTCAGCCCTACCATTCTGACCTCAAGCTTAATGGCGCGCACCCGCTGTTGTTGCCCTGCAGTTGCGCTTCTTTGTATACTGATGGCTTACCCTCTGGCGGCAAGGCTCCCGCTCGTGCGCTCAGCATGATTTCCGGTGCGCCAACACTGCGCCATGTTGCGCGACGTGTTAACTATTTAGTCTACAGTTTCGTCGTTGTCTTTGCTGTCGCATTGGCTGTTGGCGGGACGTTATTTATTTTATTGATAAATTTAAATATTAACTGTAATAATAGTTGTCCATTTAGCGCAGCACTGACCGGCTCCCACACGTACACAAATTTACCGTCTGTCTTGTAACCTGGGTGAGAGGTTGGAGGCTGTCAGTCGGAATTCAGAGTATCTTCGATTGATAAAAGCTCTAAAGTGATGCTGATGACTTCAGTGTTTGTGAGCCTTGCAGCGTGCAGCATGCAGGGCGTCTCTCCATTTTTTTTTCAGCAAAAGTATTTGAGCTTAAAAAACTTTTTTGCAATTTCAATACGCTTCAATTTTTATCTGAGCAAATCAATCAATGCGGGAGATTTAAACTTTAAAATACTGAGTTGTATGGAAGATAATACCATTTATTTCATTTAAAGAGAGAGCAACAGGGAATAAGAGAGTTAAAGTACTTTTAATGATAATAAAAAGTTGAATAAATTAAACTAAAATAAAATAAAATAAAATAAAATAAAATAAAATAATATAAAATAAATTAAATTAAATAAAATAAAATAAAATAAAATAAAATAAAATAAAATAAAATAAAATAAAATAAAATAAAATAAAATAAAATAAAATAAAATAAAATAAAATAAAATAAAATAAAATAAAATAAAATAAATTAAAATAAAAAAATTAAATATAGAAAATTGTGTAAATAAAATTAAAAAAAAAATAAAAAAAATACTATAAAATAATGAAAAAAGGTTGAACTTAATTAAAATAGATTAATTTTTGAGCTTAATATTATATATTTACCCTAACTTCCTGTCAACAGGGCACAATTGCTCTCTTATTTTGGTTATAAAGCTTTCATGTAGTAAATGCATTTCCTATTTACTTTAACTTTTTTAATTTCCGGTTTTAATTCATTATTTTCAAATTCTTTAAAATTTTTTTCGTTGTTGTAAATTATCAAAAATAAATTGTATGGTAAAATTATGCCGGATTTATTAATTGTAATGTCATTGTTCGGATTTTTTTTCTGATGACAATTGAAGTTACTTACTTGTGTAAATTAGCACGTGTGTATGTGTGCGATGCTTTTGTAAAATACTTGTTTAGAGTTTTAAATAAGTTGGCTGTAGAATTATCAGCTTTGTTGTATGCATTGTTAAACAAACAAAAAGAAATGTTCTATTTGAATTGGAAAACACCTTTTTACGGTTTTAATGTAAATTAAAAGCGAAATTTGTATTTTTGTGCAAACTTTATTGTAATTAAATATGCAAAACTTCGTACACCAAGTAGAAAATGCTGTAGGAATAAAGCTTAGTAGATGTCATTTTGGGTTAGATTATGCCGCAGTTAGCGCTTTCAGCTCAGGCTCCTATATATGTTCTGCAGTCTGGGTCTAGAATAGACTCCAGTGAACACACAGTTGTCCATTAAAGTCGAAAATCGCCTAAACTTAATATAAAATGTTGAAATGATTGCATAACGAAGGTTAAGGAAAATATTTTACACAATTCTTAGTTGATCTGTGGTTTTGTTAACTCGAAAACGTAGGCTTTCCCCGTTTCCATCCGTCTGTCTGAAATACAAATCTACTTTGCCATGTGACTTAGTTTAACAGGTGGCTTGGTCACGGGACCCTAATCATGCACCCTTTGTGATATCTATGTTGGTCCTGATAAAAAGGCTCCCTTCACCTTTAAAAATGTGCAAACGACTTGGTGTTTTTTATGAGATTCAGAAGATCAAGACGTCTACTGAGTCAAGCTGTGCAAGGCATTTGAAGAAGAAATTTCCGAGAAAACAATAACGGACCGCACTGAGAGATGGACAGTAACAGAGGTAATATTCCACCGACTCCTTCTTATATATGTCCTTGCAGCTGCGGCATAAGTCGTTTGGGAAGCGCCCCATCCTTCTACCATGAGTACCCATAAGACATTGTCCGGTTATTACGCCGGTTTATATGCTCATAGATGTCCGATTTGGAATCTTCGGAACCACTTAGAAATAGTCTTTTAAGACGGTGAAATATACAATTAATTATACAATTCGCATTCACTGAATATTTGTATTATCTGCAAATTATGTTGAAACTCAGAGAATTACATTTTGAGTTTCCGTTTGCGTTGGCGGTGGAATTTCATCTGACCGATCCTCACTTATCTTGCGTTTGCTCGTCCTCATTTTAGCCGATCGTTCTAAACTTCGACTTCGAACCACGAAAGCCGTTCTAGACAATTTAGCTACGTGATGTGATAAAAAAATTTGCCTTAGAATCTTAAAAAATGTAAGACGATCTGCGTTTTGTGAAGTACTATTCAATGTTCTCCTTTTACAATTACTGATTTCAATCTAGAATAAATGTATAACTTTGTAGATTTTGGGGTTGCGATGGACGGTAAGCTTAACTTAGATCTTCATTTAACACTACAGTCATAAAAGTTTAAGAAGCCTTTGACTTTGCCAAAAGATTTTCAAAAAAATTTAGCGATCCTTATGTAACTAAAGCACTTTATACGACTTTGGCGAGACCAATATTGGAATATGGTTCCTTGATATTGAACCCCATTATCAACTTCATTCCGATAAGTTGTAGACTGTTTTACACTCTTGCCATTAAGACTTTTCCTATAGAACTCAAAGAAAATTCCTCCTCCTTATACCAACTGTTTAAAGCTTCTAAGTCTACTTGCAGCGACATGTTAGGCGCATTCTTCGTAGTCAAACTTCTTAAGAGGTTACATCAAGTTAGGAGCCCTAGAAAATTATGTTTTTCAAAAATTTTTCACGCGGAAACTTTTAGCTTTATTATTTTGAGCATTTTTACATATGTTAAAGCACCTTTGAAGAAGGATTAGACATTTTTTATTTATTAAAATAACAGTTTTTGAAGCTGCTACATCAGATCTCCAGGGACCCCTCGAAAAAAAAGCGTTTTGCGGTGACCATTATATTTCTGAAGTGTATCAGCTGAAATGAAAATCAAGTATCAAAGAATCTCGTTAAGTAGTCTTGTGATTAATCGAAAGAATAAGTGAATTTTTTTTACGAAATTGCGGCTTTTTAAAAAAATTAATTTTTCTCCATAATTTTGGTTTGGTTGGAGTACCAAAAAATATTGTTCTCAAGCCCGTATAAAAATTTGAGACAAATCGGCTCGGCCGCTCCCGAGAAATCTGGGTCACTGATTTCAAAAAATAGTTTTAAAAAAAACGAGGCGCCACACCGGCTTACTGCTTTCAAATGCTCTGACGCGTCGTTACAGATTTGTGTGTAACTTCCAAAATAAAGTTGGATCGATTTGAAATTTTTTAGAGTATTAATTTGAACACCTTTACATTACGAAAATGAAAATTAAAAGAAATTAAATTTTGTGAAAAAACCAACTGGATTTAATCCCTTAACGGATCAATTTGTAATTCATAGTTCTTGTCTGAGGTAAACTTTAATGGTCCTAACTAGTGCATTTACGCGGTTTTAGCTTGTAAAAGAAATTATATAGTAAACTGAATGAACCATACCACCGATTTTGCCACGATTTTAATTTTCATTTGAGCACCTTCGACCTCTCAGACTCACTTTTAAGCATCAAAAGCTATTTTTGTTTCTCTCAACAATTAATTTTCAAAATTATTTCGTTACTAAATTTCAGCTGCTGAACAATTTTTTTTTCTGTATAAATCTCGACATTGAACTCTTGACATGGCTCGAAATTCCGAATCCCGACCGTTATGCGGATGTGGCCACACGTGTCGATTGGGCGGATGGGGGGTGTTCGTTGGGTTTATTACTAAAAAATCTGCCGAGCTTTTTAAATGGTATACAGCCGTATAACAAAATTAGCATAACAAATACCAATAAGCAACAATAACAATAACATTTCATGAATTGCTAAATACTTTCATTTCAATTTTCATGCATATGTATGAACTTTTAACATTTTAAATTTTAATGAGAATTTTTTTGGATAATAAATTTTCAGCTTGTTTATTCTTTATTTTCCTGTGTAGCAGGTAGTTTTTGCTATGAAACAAGAATTTCAATTTATTTTGAACAGTTTGCCTATCACTATTTATGTATGTATGCAATAATTAGTATTTGCTTTTGCGAAATAAATTTTTTCTATGCATTTGTATGCAGTTAAAAACAAACTAACTTTAGTCGGGAACTTTTTGCAAAAGCTTTAATTGTTAAAGCTTGAGAAGTGGCTTTCATAAATTTTATAATAATTTTTGATAATCTTAAATGGTGGGAAATAGGGTGTAGTAAAGCCTCTGAGTATGCAGATACTGTCGAGGCTGTACTCAATTTCTACTCTTGCGTGCACGTCGCTCACCCTGGAAATGTGAGTAATGCCTGTACAAGATGAGGTACCTAACCCGTTTGGGGCTTTGGGTCACGATTGAAAGAGAGGAAGCTTCAGTGTAGCTACTCCAACATATTCGGTTTATCGGTGCGCTGAAGTCGAATTGCACCGCCTGCGAGCGGACTTCGGTCTGGAAGCAAACAGCTCGCTATATATATTTTTACGATACTTAAATCTACTGGTCTCGTGAAGTTTTGCGCATGGTTAGATGGCAACCAGATCCAGTCAACAGTTTTACAACGATTCAACGCAACACTCACTACAGCGGCTATATGAAGGAGCGCGAATTTTAGGTTGCACCCGTGGTGGGAGAGATTCAGTCGCCACGTCTTGGTATTTACTCCGTTTGATGAAAGTCTCACCGCCATCGGCATCAAAACAAAATACTTCAACTACCACACACTGATAGAAAAAAAGAACTGTATGAAAATCCTCCATAACGATACATCCCAAAATGAGTTGAGATAGATCGACTTCGACGGGTTAGAAATATGATTGCCACTAGTACTGTAGGTGTGGTACTCTCTCCAGATCAAATAACAAATAACGCCAGTCAGCCGAACGGTTTTTTACTCGACTTACACTCCTGCTCTCTGAGAGTACTCATCAGCAACTCAGTATAAGGGAGCTGTGGATCGAAATTTTAAGCTCCCTAAACGAAACTCTCGGGTTTTGAAAAAATCGACAAAACAACTGGTTTTAGGAGAATTTCCGTGTCGCAGTGGAGCGAAAGCAGGCAGCCTACTTTACAATGTTGAGGTCCACTTTTACATGTGGTGGAGGGGATATATACCTAGAGCTGAAGAGGGTAGCAAGACGCGCTTTCTTTTGCGATACATTTAGCTATTATTGCTCTCCCCAGAGTATACTGCGTTTTTGGCGAAAACACTTTTCCAACCCGCTGAATGGCAGTGAAAGTACAACACCAGGAGATGGCAAACCCGCTTTCCTAATCACCGACGATAGAAAAAATGTTTGCTTGCCCGACTAGAAAAAAGTTTGGCAATCGCCTTCTTGAAAAACAGTAAAATGGAGAGGACCGATATATTGCCGGCTGAGTTGTCAGCTTCTTTGCAAAATATGGTATGCACGACGATTGGAATCTAAGTATGCTCTTCCCAATCGCTTATAAGGTCCTGTCGAGCGTATTATGTGAGAGACTAAAGCCCGTCGTCTACAAATTGATAGTGATAAGATCTGGTAAATCCACAGATTTGGAAAAGAAAAGAGGATCGACACACACCACCTCCTCCTCGATTTGGAAGCAAAGAAAGGGTAAGACCTTCACTGCGTTTGAAGGAGAAGGTGGAGAACGAACTGGCTGTACTAGGTATTTCCAATTGGCGCCAATATACAAAGAGATGAATAAATGACAGCAGGGTCTACGCAAATGAAAAAGTAGGAGATTTTAAATAAATATGTAATGATTGTTACTACCGGCTAGTGTAGACAGGGACAATGTTTCAATAGTCAAGATATATAAAATACTTTCATAGTAAGCTTCAAAATTCGATCGCCATAATTATGAAGCTTTCAGTATTTCTGCACCCAGATTTTCGGATGTTTAAAAATTGACCTTTATTTAAAAGATATCTTCTTTAGCCTACATTTTACATATATTAAATATTTTTCCCTTCACTCTCACATATTTTCAGGAAGAGTTGTCTAATAAATGGGCAGAATTCGCTGGTGAAATAAGTGAAGTCCTCTCGAAAGAACTTCAACTACCAGAGGAGGATCAACCATTGCCATTTGATGCGACTGCGGAAAAAAGTATCGACGATCAAAAGTAAGTTAAAAAACTATATATTTCACCTTATTATACCGTAAACCTAATGAAGAAATTTATCCCTCGCAGAGACTATCTTTGTGATGTAATGAATCACCTCACCCGAATTTCCTGTTAGTTCATATTCCGACGTCTGTTTAGCCTGGCTGTCCATTGGGCTTACGACAGTGTAAGGTTATATAAATACAACGAAATAAATTAAAAGAATATAAATTAAATAAAATAAAATGAAACAAAATAAAATGAAATAAAATAAAATGAAATAAAATAAAATGAAATAAAATAAAATGAAATAAAATAAAATGAAATAAAATAAAATAAAATAAAATAAAATAAAATAAAATAAAATAAAATAAAATAAAATAAAATAAAATAAAATAAAATAAAATAAAATAAAATAAAATAAAATAAAATAAAATAAAATAAAATAAAATAAAATAAAATAAAATAAAATAAAATAAAATAAAATAAAATAAAATAAAATAAAATAAAATAAAATAAAATAAAATAAAATAAAATAAAATAAAATAAAATAAAATAAAATAAAATAAAATAAAATAAAATAAAATAAAATAAAATAAAATAAAATAAAATAAAATAAAATAAAATAAAATAAAATAAAATAAAATAAAATAAAATAAAATAAAATAAAATAAAATAAAATAAAATAAAATAAAATAAAATAAAATAAAATAAAATAAAATAAAATAAAATAAAATAAAATAAAATAAAATAAAATAAAATAAAATAAAATAAAATAAAATAAAATAAAATAAAATAAAATAAAATAAAATAAAATAAAATAAAATAAAATAAAATAAAATAAAATAAAATAAAATAAAATAAAATAAAATAAAATAAAATAAAATAAAATTAAATAAAATAAAATAAAATAAAATAAAATAAAATAAAATAAAATAAAATAAAATAAAATAAAATAAAATAAAATAAAATAAAATAAAATAAAATAAAATTAAATAAAATAAAATAAAATAAAATAAAATAAAATAAAATAAAATAAAATAAAATAAAATAAAATAAAATAAAATAAAATAAAATAAAATAAAATAAAATTATAAAAAAAAACTAAAAAAGTGAGATAAAATAAAATAAGAACATGCTTGCAGGAGACTAGGTAAATTTTATAAGACATACGAAAATATGCTGTGCATCAATTTTCGTAATTAGCAGATATTCAGCCTCTATGATACGTATATGTGTGTATGTATGTTTATTTACGATATACATCCCTTTCCGAAAGAGCAGCTCAATAAAATTACATCTTTGTTGAAATTTTTTCTGTTGAGCTTTTAGGTTAATTCCTTTGTGTACCCAAAAACCAATATTTTGATATATACCTATAGGTATGTAGAGATGAGAATGCCAGGTGCTGGGCTATGAAAGTACTCATATGTATGTGCATATTTTAATCTAGTTATTCGATGTACCACATCCACAAATTACTGGCTTATCCACCATTTTTTTTCGTTTACATTTCGTTAGGTAAATTTGAAAAATTCAATATATCCGTTATCAGCCCACATATCCTTAATATTGGCCGTAATCCTTTTACATCTACCAAACAAATTTTCAATTTGTTGTTTTTACGTTTTCTTAGGTTTTTTTATACAAATTGTATCGTTTTATGGAGATTTGGATTTTTTGCATTACCAGCAAATACATATGTATTTAACTACTATGTTCATAGTAAACTTTTTAAATTAATTTTCTATTTTTCGTTTTATGTTTGCTATTGGACTTTTTTTTTTTAAATATTTTTTCATTTCAGGGAGGATTGTATGTTACGCTTGCATCGTTTTTTGCGTGATCAGCAAATTGAAAAAGCAATTTCCCTATTACGTTCTGCCAGGTGAGTGGTTAAAATTTGAATATCTAAGTTTCTGTATACAATACAATTAAACAAATTGCTCTTTTAAGTTTACTTATTCAGTTGTTCAACTCCTTGCATGACCAACATCCAAAAGTTCTAGAAAAATAATTTGAATATTTAAGCAAAAATAAGGTTAAATTTTCTAGTTGCGGTCATCCTTTGAAAAGGAATGTGAATCCCTTCGAGTAAATTTCGGACATTTGTAGGCGGCTTAGTTTAAACTGTATGTCCCACCATTTTTTGGGAAAATATCAAGACGCAAAATCACAAATTGGAGGAGAAGCTTGGCCGAAAATCTTTTCACCGGTTACCAAACGCCTATTATATTTATATATACATATATACAGTTTTACTTTTTCACTTTTTACTACCGAACCTGATTTTACTCAAATCAGTCACTTTTTACTATTACAGAGATTATTTTTTCCGTTCATATAGACGAATGTGGTAAAGTTCACGACCAATGTCCCCGTATATCTAGTACACCTCATCGTTCCATTAGCTGCGATGCAAGAGTGATTCTGCTTTAAATTTCAAGACCCTTCTTGCTACAAAGATCGATATTGCTCGGTTTCGATCTGTCGACAGCCAAGCAGACAGCTTGATGATGAGTCATATATCTGGCTCCGAGGCAAAGTTGGGGATGTTTCGTTGTGGATGCTGAACTTAACAGTAGTTGTGCTTTATAAGGTATCTAGCCCACTCTGGAATTAAATACGCCAAGTAAAATTTTTTAACTCTTTGCGGGGGCAGCGCTCATAAGTACGTTCCAGACGCTCATAGAAGATATCGCCCTTCTTTTGCGTCACGACCTGATTAGCGTAATTTTAAAAAACTGCGCATTCATGTGAAAAATGGCGTGAATGCCATTATTCGACAAACGGAGTCTCTCTCCCACCACGAATACGATGTTATGTTTGCGGTCCTTTTTTATGGCCGCTGCAGTAAATATCACAAAGACCTACTCATTTCTATGGACGGCGATAATGTAAGCCTTAATTCTTACGTGAACATTACAGGTACATTATAAGACGTCAATCGTCTCGCGCTTACCCGCGTAGGCGAGCGGCGTTGCACAACTTCACAAAACATAGTCTAGGGGCGTTAAATCCCACTCTAAGGACTGACGACGCAAGGTAATGGACTCGCCAAGGGCTTTCTTCAACAATACCGGGGTTTCTTTAACATTATACCCGGCTTTAGTTTTGCCCATAGAGCGAGCGCACCAAACAGTGACTTTTTGTGAATATAAAGGCATATAAAATATGGCGTGTGGATTATCAGCACTTCAAATGCGAATTTTTTTTTTATTAAACTATCTACTTAGCTGACCTTCATCCCACTTACTGAACGTTTGACGGTCTTTTGGATTAAAGTTTTGGCTAGAATTATATTCTGTACGGCCACAAACCAAGAAACTTTCCAAAAATCATCTATAAAGTGGATGGGTGCAGCTCGGAATTGTTTAGCGTGGTGACGAAAGGACTAATTTGGGTCTTCTTCGACACACCGTTCCACAGCAGTGGCGATAGCGTCTTTGACGAGCACTGTACGGCGTCGCTGAGGACGTGCATTATCCACCAGAGTAAACGTGGTGTAAAAGCGATCCACGGTTTCTTGAATTACCGACTCTGCTGGACGATAATGTCTATCGAATATTGGACGCAGATATGTGGCGCGCACCGAAACATTATTTTTGTAATAAATATGCAGGGTTCGCAAATGTTGTTCCGGAGTGAGTCTGTGCATTATGAAATCGCAGGACAAACTGAGTATAAATCAAATCAAAAAGATCTAAATCTGATAAAATTTTATCTCATTGAAAACTACACGTTTAAAAAACACCCCTTGCTTAAGACTCCATTTCTATAAGTTATGCGTTTAAAGCCGAATTAGATAATAACCGATATCTCTCTTTAGCTTTCGCGATAACATCGATATGTGCCGAAGGCTTTCTATATGCCTTGAGTGCGACTTTGTTGCAACAACGATTCATCGCAGGGTGAAATCCGAAGAAATAACTTCTCGAGAGAGAGTAATTAGGCTATGTGTTTCCCTCAGTTCAAGCAGGCTTAATGAGTATTAAGAGTCGATGCTATTTAGGCATGAATTTGTTATTTTTTCTTCCTTAATATTGGGCCGTGTCTGTAGAAAGTATTTCTACAGTGTATTTTAGAATTTCGAACGTTTTTTAATTTTAATTGCTTTTTAAAGTTAGCACTACGTTCCTGGTAGATGCAGATTTGTAAACATACAACGTTATGCAGATAAATGTGTATGTGCATGTGTGTGTGTGTTTATGGCAAACAAATTCTTGCACTGCATTTTAAAAATATTCTATTCACTTTAAGTGCATCGCATCAACAATAAATCCACGTTGGAAGCTTCCTTTCAGGATTTTAAACATTTTTATTTTATTTTATACATTCTTTCTTCACCTTGCTACTAAATTTACACAAAGGAATTTGGCGTAATAAATTAACTTGCTTCGTGAAGAAATTCCTTGCAACAGCACCAGCACCAGCACCAGCAGCAGCTTTTGTGCAAATTTTTGACCCCCACTCTACCTCCCGCCCAAGTTTTTAGCAGCTTTAAAGGGCACCACTTCACTCGTCATGGTAAGTACGCAGTCTATGGTAGTCTTCTCATCATCCAAACTTACAATTGGGTATTACCTTTTTAGTCCTGCGAAATACCTTTTTCTTATTGGCCATCCTTTGAACGCAGTCCGCAACCATAAAATATGCTTACCGCATACGGTTGCACGGTAACCAAGAAAGGTAGACCATCGCTGCTTAAGCACAACGTCGAGCGTTCGTGTTAGCGACTAGAGCAATGCAAGATGTGCTCGCTCTGATAACATCGGTCTTGGGGGAGGTGGATAGTAGTCAGTCGTTGGCGCCGGGATGCTGGTATGGCGCCATGATTTTTTGGCTTGGCGAATACGTGTTTGTGCGGCTGTGCAGAGGGTCTGATTGCCATGACGTTGGAATATTAAATATTTTTAAGGTATTCATTGGTAAATACAGTTATGAATATTCTGGGCTTTAGTATAAAATATAAAAAAATGAAACTATAAAAATACTGAATAAATAAATAGGAGATAAAAATAAAAATATATATGAAAAAAGTGTGTAAAGAAATAAAAAATTATTATAAATAAAGCAAAAACTCATTGCAACAAGTCAGTTGACTGGAAGGTTTCAATAAGCCAACTTTTTTGTTTTGCCTCACGTATTTAGTTTATGTTGTATTCACCAGAAATTGCTTTTCCTAAAATTATATGACCATGAGAATATATTGAAAAGATTGAAGAAAAATTTAGCAGTATAAATACAGTTAAGTAATAAATATAATAAAATAGAAAGTTTTCCATTATTTTTGTATTAAATTTAGGGCTATAGTTACCATAGTTAGATTTATCCGGGGAATGTCTCGGATAAGAGACCCCTCTTTTGACGACGACCCCCGCAACTGTTTTAATGGTCACCTTTCGAGGGTGTCCACCTGGAATTTCCGGTCTATTAATTGAGAAGGTGTGGCTGCCCAGTTGGTAGACGTCTTCAAAAAATTAAAGACTGAATCACCGCCGTCCAAGGTGGATCCTTGCGATGTATACTACTGCGGCCACATAAAGGAGCGCTGTATTTGTGGTGGGAGAGAGACTCCGTCGCCGAGTATTGGCATTCACTCCGGTGGATGAGCCTTTATGAACGCTGCAACCGCTGCGATTACAAAATTGTGCTTGATGACTTCATCCAAATCTAGGGTGGACAAAGAAGGTATCTTCGGCACAACTGTCAAAAATTTCGGCCTCCACGACGAACATGACCAAATAGCATGACCAATGAGCATGTGCAATGTTACGAAAGATATCGAAACTGGATCAAACTCTGGTAGGACCCTGAAGATGCCCAGAGTATACTAAATTTTTCGAGAGAATACTTATCCAGCCTGCTGCATGGCAGATGAAGTGAAACTCCCGGAGACGGTGAATCCGAAATTCCAATCGCAAAATATACCCGGAGGAAAGCAGGCACGACGATTGGAACCTAAGAGTACTCTGCCCAATCCACAAAAGGGCCGATTTCACAGTCTGCGCCAATTACTGTGGGTTAAACCTCCTCAATATCGCACATAAGGCCCTATCGAGCGTATTGTGTGAAAGACTAAAGCCCGCCGTTAACAAATTGATTCGACTTTATCAGTGTGGCTTCAGACCTGGTAAGTCGACTTCTTGATCAGATATTCACCTTGCGACAAATCTTGGAAAAGCCCCGTGAAAAGAGGATCGACACCCACCACCTCTTCATCGATTTTAAAGCCGCCTTCGAGAGCACGAAAAGGAGCAGCCTTTACGCCGCTTTGTCTGAGTTTAGCGCAGTCAGAGTTGGGAGGGACGTCTCCGAGCCAAAGGAGTTTTCAGATTATCGTGCGATTCCTTGAATTTGAGCTGCAAAACTGAATAGAGAAGGTACATTTTTCTAAGGTGCATTCTTCTAAACACTTCTTCGATTGTCTCGCTGAGCTGGCCTCAGTGAACATTGGAAATCTCGTTGCCTTTTTTATATGGCACACGAAATGGTTCGATCATTTGAGAAGGTGAAGGCTGGAGCCACAGCGTTATCACAATGGGCCTATTTGCCTAAGTGGGCTGGGGTTGAGCAGCAGCCGCATCAACTCAACTCAACTCTACATTCTTCTGTAAAAGTGTACAGCTGCTGGCAAAGACATGAGTGAATGAGGGCAGGATGAAATATCTCTTATCATCAAAGAAACAGCCATCGCATTCACGACTTGGCCCTAACGTCACTGCTGACTATCATAACTTCGAGGACGTAGATAGTTTCCTCTATCTAGGGACCATCATCATTATCAATTATGATGTCAGCCTTGAAATCCAGCGCGCAATGACTTTTTCCCAGCAGATGATATATATTTTGGGCTGAATAGGCAATTGAAAAAAGTTCTCGCTTAAC